GTCAATCGCCATCTATCGGTCGATCACCATCTATCGGACGATCGCCAAATATCGGTCGATCGCAATCGGTCAATTGTGAAGGCAATTTGAGTAGACTGCATGGCAAAACAGACGTCAGATTTTATATATATATATATTCATTTTAATTTTTTCAGTAAATGACAGCCTATCAATTCATTCTCATTATGCAGTTCGTCACTTGACTGACATACATGTTAGCTGATCTGAGACTGGACTTTTTCTGACACGTAGGTCACCACACATGCACATTCAATCACGCTAAAAACAAACGAGTTGCCTTGTAATAGCCTCCAGTTTATTTCTTCTAATCTAAATTCAAGAAAGTGTGTAAAATGAGTAGGGGAGCTGGACCAAGAAGAAGCAAAAAACCTACTATTTCCATACGGAATGGGAGGAGGACTTTTTTTTTCTCTACGATATCATATTCGAAGTGCGTTTGTCTCATCTGAAAGTGTATCGGAGCGGCATTTTCAGACTATATTTATAAAACTAAGACGGTGACTGTCGGAACAAACAGCACGCAACACAGACAACTCCACCCCTGTCGACAAAAACAACAGAAGATATGAGCGCCCTGCCAAGGAATGCAACCCAGAACCAGGTTCAGGAAGAGTCAACCATCTTTTTCGACCGGCTGGGGTTTCAGAGGACAGGCAGGAGAAACAAACACACAACAGCAGGCCCAGGTGTAAGTTCTTTTGGAGGAAAGACAATAAAACTCATGTTAAGGATATAAATAATTACAGAGCAAGTAAAGACAGAGGAAATGTGGTCAGTTTATCCTCCAGCAGTCTATAGAGTCAAGGTTCAATGTACTTTTATTGTCATTCGTATCACATGCGGTACATGAGGTGGAACGAAATTGTGTACTCAAGGTCCCAGTTACATCCAAAAATAGCAAAAGTATAAAGTATAAAAAAATCAACTGTATACAAGGATCTAATATTTATGCTAAACAATAACAGAATAAATATGAGATAGCTCAGGAAACCCAAACTAACCCTAACTATAGAATTCATCAAAAAGGAAAGACTTAAGCCTAATATTAAAATAGACCATCTGTCTGTTGGGGGACTTTATGTAAAGGTCATGGATGTTATCACTTACTAATATTTAACCATGTGTGTGAAGTCAAGAGAATATTTCTGTCTACTCAGAGAGAAGCCTGATAACTGATAACTTCTGACACCTTCAAAAACTGTGAGCTGTGAAGCAGAGGTTGTGTTGACCTCGCCTCTGTCTGATAAGCATTATAAGTAGATGCTTCTTTATGCTGTCTGTGGGCAGACCTTGAGATTCGATGTCCCACCCTTGTAAGCCTGTTTTCAATGTTGCCACCTTGCAAGTAAACTAGGTTGAAAGATCTTCTCATATCCTCAGTGTTAGGCTTATTTGATTAATGAGATGATGATAGGATAATTAATTTATGCAACAGTGTCAGCCTCACGGACGGAAATTGGAAGTTGGTTTCACAAGAGAGGAGCCTGATAACTGAAAGATCTGCCTCTCATTCTACTTTTGGAAACTCTAGGAACCACAAGTAAACCTGCAGTCTGAGATTGAAGTGCTCTGTTAGGGAAATATGGAACAATAAGATCTGTAATATAAGATGGAGTTATGTTGTTGAGAGCTTTGTAGGTTAGAAGTAAGATTTTGAATTATATTCTGAATTTGACAGGGAGCCATTGGAGAGAAGCTAAAACTGGAGAGATATGAGCTCTCCCACTAACTCCAGTTAAGACTCTGGCAGCAGAATTTTGGATCAACTGAAGACTTTTTAAAGAAGTTTGTGGACACCGAGAAAATAAACAATTGCAATAGTTCAGCCTAGATGTGATAAATGCATGGACCAGTTTTTCTGCATAATTTTTGGACAAGGTGTTTCTAGTTTTAGTGATACTGTGCACATGGAGGAATGTGGTCATGGTAACTTTTTTAATGTGGGGGTTAAAATACACGACCTGATCAAAAATAACACCAAGATTTTTTACATTAGAACTGGAGGACAGATTAATGTCATCCACGGAGGGCGAAAGACTGAAAATTTTATTCCTAAATGCTCAAGTCCAAAAACTAAAACCTCAGTCTTGTCTGTATTCAAAAGCAGAAAATGTGTCATCCAGGTTTTTATGTCTTTAAGACATGCTTGTAGTCTAAGTAGCTGATTGGATTCATTAGATTTCATGGACAAATATAACTGTGTATCATCAACATAACCATGAAAATGTATCCCATGCTGTTTAATAACTTTACCTAATGGAAGCATATATAAAGTAAAGAGCACTGGTCCAAGCATTAAACCCTGAGGAACCCCATGACTAAATTTGTTGTATGAAGAAGATTCATTAGTTACATTTACAAATTGGAATCTATCAGATAAATATGATTTAAAGCATTTTAGAGCTGTTCCTGTAATTCCAATATCATATTCAAGTCTCTGAAATAGAATAATGTGATCAACTGTATCAAATGCAGCACTGAGGTTTAACAGGACACCTGTCCATTGTCAGAAGCCATGAGAATATCCATCCATCCATCCATTTTCTTTACCCGCTTATTCCATTTTGGGTCACGGGGGTCGCTGGTGCCCATGTCCAGCAATCACTGTGCGAGGGGCGGGGTACACCCTGGACGGGTCGCAAGTCCATCACAGGACCACATAGAGACAAACGAGACAAACAAACAAACATTCACTCTCTCACTCACACCTAGGGACAATTTAGAGTTACCAATCAGCCTAACATGCATGTTTTTGGTCTGTGGGAGGAAACCGGAGCACCCGGAGAAAACCCACGCATGCACGGAGAGAACATGCAAACTCCACCCAGAAAGGCCCCTGGACCGGGGTTTGAACCAAGGACCTGCTCGCTGAGAGGCAGCATCTCTACCAGTTGCGCCACCGTGCTGCCCATGAGAATATAATTAGTATATTTTACCAATGCTGTTTCTGTGCTATGGTGAGCTCTAAACCCTGACTGAAACTTTTCAAACAGATTATTTCTTTGTAGATGTTCATGTAACTGACCTGCAACTACCTGTATTTTCTCTAGAATTTTTGAGGTGAAAGCTAGATTAGATATAGGTCTATAATTGGCTAGAATTCCTGAATCAGGATCAGGTTTCATAAGAAAAGGTTGAATTGCACTGCAACCTTAAAGCGCTGTGGTATGTAACCATTCATTAGAGGCAAATTAAGCAGATCCAAAATGTTGACATCATTTAAGGGAAATGCATCATTCAATAGTCTGGTTGTGATGGGATCTAGCAGACATGTGGATGGTTTGGATGAAGCTATTATTTTTGACAATTCAGAGAGCTCAACAGGACAAAAACAGTCCAAACATTAATCAGGTTCTAGTGACATTTCTCAAGCTGCATCATCCGACAGGGAATCAGAGGCAATAGTAGGAAGGATGGTTTGAAAATGTTCTCTTATTAAAATAATTTTATTTTTAAAGAATCTCGTGAAGTCATCACTTAAATTTAGAATGAGTTACAACTAGATTCATCTCTTTACTCCAATCTTTCAGTATTAAACAAAAAAACACATACAAAATTGTTGGTGTTGTCAGTTGGCAACACAGACTATTTCTGGCCATCCTATCTGGCCATCCATCCATCCATCCATCCGTCCATCCGTCCGTCCATCCATCCATCCGTCCATCCGTCCGTCCGTCCTCCATCCATCCATCCATCCATCCAACCATCCAACCAATCTCTCTCTCTCTTTCTCTCTCTCTCTCTTTCTCTCTGTCTCTTTCTTTCTCTCCAATAATTAGAAAATCAATGATCTGCCATTCACTGTTTGAAAATGTGTTTGTTTCCTTTCTTATGATGAATCATTTTTATGAAAATTACACTGTTAGTCTTTTAATATTCCTTTAAATGTTACCTATAACCCCCCCCCACACACACACACACACACACACACACACATTTTTTCAGATATAAAATTAGTTGCTCATAAGTAAAATATGTCAAATTATAATGAATTCTGTGTAATTTTATACATAGTAAAGAAAAATCTAGCTCCCTAAATTTGGACTAACTGTAAATTTTATATTGTTTGATAAACATTTAAATAAAGTTTTGGCAAAAACATGGCAGAGTGATACAAAAATTAAACCTATTATAAAAAACAAATTTCATTTGAT